CCTCTGATTTTGTCCCAAGAATGGAGCGTGCGTAAGATCATTTCTCACCCTCACTCCCAACCTCTTTCCTAAACGTAGAATATTTATCCACATCCTCTTGGCTCAGATGTGAACTTTGCACCTCATCCAACCTGCAGACCACGTGACTCCATTTCACGGTCCTTTGCCTCATAGAAACCACTGTCTTGGGAACATTTTCTCATATTTTACAAATCTCGACTCTAGGGAAAAAATTTGAAACTTACACTGAAATAAAACTGAATAATAAGGCTCGATTGGGTTGAAAGATTTAAGGGAAAGAAAATTTCCTTGTTTTATTATTTCAAATTCAAAGTCTTAAATGCAGGCTATTAGAGTGGGAAGGAAGATTTAAGACAATGCTGATGCAAAAGAGAAAACGAAGACTCAGAAAGAAAGGGAAGAGAAAGAAATGTGTTCTGTAGTTGCTATTCTGTTTACAAGCCCAGGTCTCCAGCCTTCTTATTAATTCTGCAAGCTAGCTCAAAGTTCTTTTTCTATGTGAGCTATTCCAAATTCCTCTTTTTGCTTCTATTAGCCAGAGTCAGTTTCTGTTGCTCGAAACTAAGTAACCTTTACTGATTCATAAATAAAGGGGGAAAAAGGCAGTTAAGAGTAAGAAGAAAATAAATAAGGTACCAAGAGGAGTAGAGAAAATGGAGAAAATAGCCAGATCCTACAACTGTTTCACATTTTGAAGGATTCTAGTCCTAGTTTGGGCATATCCTTAAAAATAAGCTTGCACCCCACCTACACCATTTTTTAAATTAAAATGGTCCCCTTGTAATTGAGGTGGCAATTGGTTTTTGTATTAGTCAAGGTTCTTTCAGTTGTAAGTAACAGAAAAATAACTAAGCAGTTGGAGCGAAAAGTCCAGGGACCATGCTTCTGACATGGCCAGGTTCAGAGGCGCAAAGGATCCCATCAGGAATCGGATTCCCCCCCTTCAGGCCCGCTCTCCCCTGTTTGCTTCCTTCTCCAGAGCTTCTGCTCTCGATGGCAGAGAGGAAGCTTTGGGCTTATTTTGTACTAGTTCACCACCTCAGAAGAAAAAGTTTTTCTTTTCCAGTAGTTGCAACAAAAGTTCTGAGGTTGATGCTTACTGGAAAGATTTGAGTTGCTTTCAATCACTGAACTAGGATTAGAAAATTATGATTTCCAGGCTTGGTCATAAGCCTGCCTTTGAACTAGGCTCAGCCCATACAAAACCACATAGGAAAAGAATGAGGGAAAACTCTCTCTCCAAGGACAGTAGAGATGACGACTTGCCCTCCCTAAGTTTTCTTCAGTTCTTTCTGGGTAACAAAACACCCAAACATTAGCCAGGCATATAGCCACCCAGAATCAAGACTACATTTCAAAGGGTCTCTTGAAACTAGAAAGTCACGTGACAATGTTCTGACCAATTGAAGATAAGTGGAAGTAATGCAGGAAACTTGCAGGAAATGTCCTCAAAAGGATATGGCATGTCTTTCTCTGTCCTTTCTTCCTTACCAATGGTCAGAATGTGGACGTGATGGCTGGAGATGAATAAGTCATCTTGGACTACATGACGATTTTGGAACGGAGGAAATACATGGTGGGGCCTGGTCCCTAACACTGTGGAGCCAGACCAGCCCTGAATCTTCATCTTCTTTGATGTGATAAAAAAAAATAAACATATATCTTGTTTAAGTGAGTGTTATTTGACAAACCACGCAACCCAACATAATCCTACCTGATTCCCCCCAAGGGAGAATCATGGTACTGTCGTAAAAAGATAGGGATCAGGGATGAGTAGCAGGCATGTCCACGGTCTCACTCCCTGAAGAATTCCATCCAGGTCATGGCCACTACTCTGGTTGGAAATTTGAAGAGGCAAATTTGCCTGCATCTGATGTACATGAATACCCAGAAATTTCAGAGTTTATGAATTCAAAGATAAAAATAATTCTAAAATTGAGCCAAGCGCAGAATTCTGAGAAATAACTGTACCCATGTCTTTTTGTCTAAGAAAAAAGTGGTTGTCAAAGTGGATTAATCCATGTATAACCTTGTAATCTTAACAATGAAGTGCAGAAATAGCAGGTTCACAATGTGAGAAACTGTTGAAGGCACATATTAGAACTCCTTTCAACATATTTGTTTTGACATTTTTATTAACAATTTGAGGAATTAATTAAATTGTAATCAAACATGGAGATGACATGATGCCAATAGAACGGTGTATGCCTTGAATAATGGAATCATGGAATTATGCAACATCAGAACCCCAAGAGGTTTTTGAAGTTAATTGTAACACCCCATTTCACAGCTGAGAAGACAGGCTTGGAGAGGTCAACCCACTTACCCAAGGCACACCTGGAATCAAGGGCGAAGCCGCTGGGATTCAATCTTTCTACTTTTTCTATTTGAATAAATGAAAGCTCTGTCATGATTCAAGATTCAAGCAGACATTTTTAAAAAATTGGAGGAGTGAACTGATGAGACAAGATAAAATTTAATCAGGTCAAATGCGTAAGGACCTACATGTTGGGTCCAAAAAAAGTCCACTGTACAAGCACAGTATGGGGTAACTGTGCCTTCATCAGCAGCACTTGTAAGAAACATTTCGAGATGCTACTTGGCTGCAAGTTTGAGACGTCAGCAGTGATGTAGCTACAAGAAACAGATTATGGACTCATAGGTGGCATTAGTAGAAATAGAGTTTACAGAAGGGAGGTGAAGAGTCCCGCTGAACTTTCCAGTCATACCCGGAATTCCTCATTCAGTCCCAGGTGTCAGATTTTAGAAGTGATATAGACAAATTAGTTTACATCCGGGAGAGAAGCCTAGGATGGAATTATGTGAGGAATGGTCAAAGGAAGTTAAGGAACTGCAAAGCACTGTAATTAAGAGCTCGAATCTTGCAGTCAGACTGCCTGGGTTTAATGCCAGCTCTGTCAATCACTGAGTATGTGTTCATTAAGCCTTAATCTCACTGTCTGTAAATTAGGAATTATAATAATACCTATCTCCAAAGATAAACGAGGTAGTGCATGTCAAGTGAGCTGCATGTTACTGGCACGAAACAAGCACTCAAATGTTAGCTACTGTGAGGATTAAGGAAGCAAAGTGAAGTGGGGCTAATGGTACCAATCTCACAGGTGAGGTGAATATTGAATGAGTTACATACTGAGTGCTGCAAACAAAGTTGGTAGTTACTATCTGTAGTAGAGAGATTGGCCTAAGGTGTCTAGGGATGGGACTGGTTTTGGGGCAAAAGATTCCCTGGCTTGGGCTAAGTTCCACAGAGCCTGACCAGGTTATCCCTAAAGAAAGACCCTGAATAAAGATATTCAGTTGGGGGCAGGTGGTGGGGATGCTGGTAGTCAACTTAGACATTCCATGGGGGTACTCGCTTGGTAAACACCTAGGCACAGTGACTTGGCATTGTTGCGGAGTGACATCTTAGTTGCATTCTTGGCCATGGCCATTTAGACCTGCTCTGACGGCCGGTTCTGACCCACTTTGTGGTCACTCAGGGCAGTACTGGGGTTGCTCACTCAAGCCTGTTCTGGGCATGGTCACTGAGAATTGTCCTGTGGGCAGTCACTTAGGAATCCTTCGAAGTGGAACTGCGCCTGGATGTCTTCTCCGACCTCTGTTTCCTCCTCCTTGTGCCACTGCGTGAAGAAGTCCTCAGCATCCTGGACTTTTTTTTTTTTAGGGACGCTGTGGGACGCTGAACAGCTCCCCGCGGAGCAGTGCGCCGCTAGGGGGCGGCCGCTAGAGAGGAACCAGCCAGGCGCGGAGTGCGCCCCAGTTCGAGCTCGCTCTCGCGCCAGGCCCAGGGAGCGGTGGAGTGACAGTGGGGTGGGGGTGCATGCTTCATGGGTGTGAGACAGAGCGAGCCGCCTGGGTGTGAGTCAGCGCGCGGGGGGCTAAGGAGCTCCATGAACAGTCACGGAATCTCACTCACGATCGGCTCCTCCGCCCATCCCGTCTAGGGCGTGTGTCCCAGTCCCGCGCGTGTGCGCACACGGCACGATGTCCGATTCCAGGCTATGTGTGTCTGTTTGGAAAGGTTGGGGTGCAGGGGGGCGGAGTGTCCCTGTCGGTGTTTCTATGGCCAGGTTGGGAGATTTCTCCCTCTCCGACCCCGTGTGGGGTGTGGGGGTGTGTCCCGGTCAGAGTACATGCGTACCTGTGTATGTGTGTGCGTGCGTGTGGTTCGACTGTTTATCATTGTAGGGTGCTTGCGTCTGCGCCTGGGTCTATGTCTGGGTCTGGATGTTGGCGCAATCTCGACCTGGGGGCCCACCCCTAGGTGTTGGGAGGCCAGAGTGGTGGGGGTGTCTAGGCTCCTGTAGGACTAAATGCCTCGACACCCTCCCCTCACCACCCCAAGCCGGCCAGGGCTCCTTAAGGAGCGGCCTGAGCTGGGAAGGCCTTGGGTGGATGAGTCGCTGGCAGAGGTAAGAGACTAGGGGCGCAGGGGGCGGGCCAGGTACCCGGGCGGGGCGCGGGCTCGGGGGACCCGCGCGGCTGACGTCAGGCGACTCCTTAAATAGAGCCGGCAGAGCGCTCCGCTCGGCATTTCTCGAGGAGCCCGAACGGGGCCGGCGCCAGCGCCACCGACCGGTCTGCCCTCCAGCCGGCACAGCCGCGCCGCCGCCGAGCGTGCGGTGCGCCGCGCTCCGAGGATCGGGAATGGGGCTTCGGGCGCTGGGCGCGCTCCGAAGCCGGCGCGCCTAAGAGCAGAGGAGCGCCAGGAGCGGCCCCGCTGCCCGGAGCCCCGGCGCCTAGGACTGGGAGATGACGGAAGCGCAGCCGCCTGTTTCCCGGGGAGCCGCCGTCCCCAGGATCCCCGGGCATGGTGCGCGCCCCGGCCAGCAGCGCCTGGAGAAGACGGCGCCCCCTTCGCCCGACCCGCGTGGCCCGGGCAGCGCCCCGCGAGCCCTCTAGGCGGCCGCAGGGCCACAGCAGCTCCGCCGCCGGCGCCCCCTCGGAAACCATGACCCCCGGCGCGGGCCCATGGAGCCATGGCCTATAGGGTCCTGGGCCGCGCGGGGCCACCTCAGCCGCGGAGGGCGCGCAGGCTGCTCTTCGCCTTCACGCTCTCGCTCTCCTGCACTTACCTGTGTTACAGCCTCCTGTGCTGCTGCGACGACCTCGGCCAGAGCCGCCTCCTCGGAGCGCCTCGCTGTCTCCGCGGCCCCAGCGCAGGGGGCCAGAAACTTCTCCAGAAGTCCCGCCCCTGTGATCCCCCGGGGCCGACGCCCAGCGAGCCCAGCGCTCCCAGCGCACCCGCCGCGGCGGTGCCCGCCCCTCGCCTCTCTGGTTCCAACCACTCCGGCTCCCCGAAGCTGGGTACCAAGCGGCTGCCCCAAGCCCTCATTGTGGGGGTGAAGAAGGGGGGCACCCGTGCCGTGCTGGAGTTTATCCGCGTGCACCCGGACGTGCGGGCCTTGGGCACGGAGCCCCACTTCTTCGACAGGAACTACGGCCGCGGGCTGGACTGGTACAGGTAAGGAGGGAGCGCCCCACTCCGCGCGCCCAGTCTCCCGTCGGCTCCATCCTAGAACCATCTCCTGCGCTTTCTCTTGTCCTTAACCCGGCTCGTTGTGTGCGTTCAGGCTGACAAGGGGAGACTGTAGCAGAAGGATTTACCCAGAACTTCCCAGTGATTATGGAGACGGGCACGCAGTTTCTTTAACTGCCAAGGGCAGTTGTCTTTGGAGTCGCCAGAAGGGAAGGGAGCTCTCTAACCAAACCTCAGAGAGCTGGAAGGCCGGCTCCGTGTCCAGCCTTTGGGGTGGGGCAGGGTGCCCAGGGAAGGGACAGGCCAGGACACGTGCTGCCTGAACACAGCGCCCTGCTGACCCTCGGCGCACCTTTCCTGGCCTCTGAAGGACCCTGAGAAGGGAAAGTCAGAACAGGGCCCCCTTGCGGCAGGGCTCTGCGCTTGGGCGAGGTCTCCATAGTTCAGGCCGAAGGAGAGGACGTCCCCTGAGGCGTCGGGATCAGAAAGCTGCCTTCGAAGTCTGTTCCCAGCTCCAGGTATTTGCTGCTGTACCTGGGCTGAGACCCCCAGGCGCTGCGACCCTGTATTAGTGGTCTTAGAGTAGTGGACAGGAACCCTGGATTTGAGTCTTGGCTCTGTCACTTAGCTTGAGCAAATGCCTAAAACTCCATGAGCCTCGATTTTCTCATCCAACACAATGGGCAGGAAAACAGTCCCTGCTGTGTCTGCCTCCCCAGGCCTTTCTAAAGTGCTTTAAAAGTGTAGCATAGATACTTTGCACTGGGCGGTGCTTCTAAACCAGCAGCCAGGACGTGGACTCTGGGATACTGGTGGGCACCTCATGTGAAGGCTGGCTAGTGTCATAGGGGCAGACAGTCATGAGTCGACGGTCCACTCCCCCCACTGCACTGCCCAGCATGAGAGCCACCCAGGCTGGTGGTGTCTGGGGATAGCCTGAAGCTTCTGGAAGATGGCACCCTCCACTGTTCAATGCCCATCTGCCTCCTAAGCCCTGTATGGTGCTGAGGTGTAGGACTAGCCCACATGTGGCCTGAACGGGGCATCCCTGAGTGGGGGGGGGGGGGGGTCGGGGTGGGGGTGATGTATGGGCTCCCCATAACACATAGGTCACAGAATTCTCCCATTCACCTGACCCCTTGAAGACTTTCTGGAAGTGTCTGCATAATGATGGAACTGGGGAGGGGTGGCGTGGAGGCTGACACAGTGGCTGATGCTAGTTTTTTTATTTTTGTAAAAGTAATCCGTTTAGGAAATAGAAAGTCGTAAGCATTTCGGACAAAGGACAACTTCATAGGAAGGGGGACCCCACTGGGTTCATAATAGGGGACCTTGGATTTACAAGAAAGAGGGCAACAGGGCCGACTTGTCACCTTAGCCCTGGCCTGCGGTGGTCGTGGTTGTGGGGGCAAGGGGCACAAACCGTCCTCAGCAGGCAGACAGAGTCTGTCTCCAGTGGAGCCCAGCAGGGGATAGCTGGCCTGCGGGTGGCCCCAGCACCATTATGCCAGCTTAATGGAATAGGGTGGCACAGAGTGGCAGGTCTGGTGCTTCCCCAGCTGTGACCCACAGGCATCCCCTCTGGGTGCACGAGGTGTCGGGGACAACGCGGGAGCCAGACCCAGGGCAGAGGCAAAGGCAGCGAGCAGCAGAGCCCTGTGTGGGTCAGTGCGGTCACACTGATACACGGCAGGCTCTCCTCGGTAGGAAATCTGAAGATCGTTACGAAGCCGTTTGCCCATGTGAAGTGCCTTTTAAGCGCAAAACAGCAAAATTCTGACCATGAGGCTTTTCGATATTGTGCCCCCCATTAAACACCCATCCCCTGCACCCAGTCTCTGTGCTCCCCTCCCCTCACGCCGCCCCCAAACACCCTAGCTCAGGCTTCCTTCCCGGAGCCCGTGTCATTCAGGGATGGCTGCTTTTTATTTTTAACCTTGGCATGTGTGATTCTAAGCCAGCTTAGCTGTGAACCTTAGAGATGGGAGCCGTGCCTTTTTTTTTTTTTATAGCACATTTGGATTCTGCTAAAATTCTCAGCTGAGTCTTGGTAGGTTTTATTTAACATCAAGCACACTGACAGCTCCACTTCTCTCTCTACTCCCCGCTACTTCCCAGGGTCTGACTTACCCTCCCTTTCCCCCTTTATATTTCTAAAAGAACAATTAGCCTGGAGGCCTGGTACTAATTGCCCCATGCCCATCACTTCCCCAGGAAGGCTGGGCACCTACTGTCAGGAGAGAGCTCTGTGATCTGTACTTCTCTCAGTTGCAAATCCACACCCTCGGAGTCAAGGGTTTCAGCTGGCTTGCCATTTCTGCCTAAAGTAATACTGCCCCATTTGGACGGTTTTTCCATAATTGTCTCAACATTTCTCTGTATATGTTTGATCCTTTATTATCACTCAAGTAGTATGCATAATTGCAGAAATGATGGAGATTTCTGGGATCCTTTAAAACCCATGTTTTCACTTTATTCCCGAATTCCATGGGTTTGGATGGCAGTTGATATGCTCCTCTTCTGCCCACTGCCTCTGTTATTTGACAGATGTGAAAACTGCAACCCCAGAAAGAGAGAGCATCGGGATCTGGGGACACAGCATGTGGATGAAATTTAGGATCAGAAGTCACTGGCATACAATATCCCACAAAGATACATGTGTGTGTGTCTGTGTGTGCATGTGTGCATTTCCAGCCACGTGCTCTAACCATTGCTCTGCACAGCTTGTCACCATAAAGCCAGTGTCCACGAGGTAGACATGGCCAAAGAGCCCTTGCGTCCACTGTGGTGGACTGTGTTTTCCAAGGGTGGGCTCCAGAGTTGTGGGCAGTGGATCTCATTAAATATGCCCACGGCTGAGCCCCTGGGGATAACCGCCTGGGTCCAGGGACCCAAATCAGATAGACAATGGAAAAATCCAAAGCTTAACTCTCACTCCAAAGGAGAGACTTCTTTCTGTGAGTAAATGGAGAGAAACCAGGAGGTGACAAACATGTGGTGCCTGCAGGCAGAGTGGTATAGTCAGAGAGACACCATCGGCCAGAGAGACCGGGAGAAAGAGTCTGCACCTGCCTTGCCCCAGCCTGAGCCCTCTCTTGGGAACCAGCCCCTTCAGGCCACCCTAGGAGAGCGCAGCCCTCTGTGGTGGGACCTCTCCCCTCGCTATTTGTCTGAGATCCATCATGAGGCTTACCTCACCTGTGCATCTGGCCTGAGTCCCCCTCCCAATTTCCTCCCCAAGGTAGCAGCTGGGCCTGCAGGGTGGGGTCTGCTAGCTGCTTGGACAGGTGGCAAAGCGAGACCATGCTGACTGACAAGGGAACCAGGATAGGCCTGTAGTAACTCTCATAGAAGGTTGTTTCGAAGGATGAATGAAATGGTCTCTGTGAAAGTGCCCTCAGAGTTCAATTGTACGTAAAGATGAGGTAGGAATGTTACTGTGGCCACTGTTACTCCGGCTGCAGCACTACCGACACTTCCGTGCTTACCGTCAGTTCTAGTAGTGTTAAAACTATTGGTTTCCGTCCCTGCTGCTGTTACCAGATGGGGCTGAGGAATTAATTGATGGCTAGAAAAGTAATTCCATGATAGACTGGAAGGGCCCTGGTCTGAAGTCCTGCTTTCAGCTCTGCTGCAGTTTTCTTTTTCATCCTCCCTCCCTTCCTCTGTGTTGATAAAACGTCCCCTTCACATTTCTGGGTGTCAGTTTGCTCACCTTTAAGATGGGAATGCTGCCTGACCTGCTTTACAATCTTGTGAACATCAAGTAAGACAATGTATGTGAAATGCTTCTCCCAATTGAAGATTATCTTTAGGATGCTGTCATTCCCCAAAGGTTGGGTGTGGGTCTTCATCTTTTATAAAGAGGTAAAAGCTGTGTATTGTCCAGTAGTTTTTTGAGTCTTAGGGGAGGCTGAGTTTTGTGTGAAGTGTTCTCCATTTTGCTAGTTTTCAGCGATGGGGGGGATGGTGGGGGGGTGTTGGGGGAGCAGTGTGGAGAGGAAGTGAATTTCTCTGAATGCATTGAAATGCCAACAAGAGCAAGTTAATATGTGATAATCGACTCTGTGCTCTGGTGTCAAATCTTGATAGATAAGCCCGTTCTGTAAATTTTAGACTCCACTTCACAATGCTGGTTATTTATTTGTTCAGCGTTGATGGTGTTCTTGGGATGGTGTGAGCCAAAGAAGACACAACATTTACCCTGCAGGCAATAGTCTAAGTAAGAAAGATTAAAAGCACAGAATAATGTTTATCACCTTATTCAGCTCATTTCAGTCAGGAAATCAAATTCTAGTGGCAAAGCCAAACTCTAGAAAGGCAAACTTTAGGAAGAAATAAAACCAAAGGCAGAGGCAAGTGGCCTCCTGTAAGCAGTAGTTAATGCAGAAGGCTTTACTGTCTTTAACAAACTGGTCAACAAGTGACACAGATTGATCCATGCTCATCGAGTGTGCACAGACGTGTGTACATGTGCGCCCCACATGCGTACACAATTACCGTGTCTGTATAGACACACGTCTTCGTAAGGAGTTTTCCAGCCTCAGTCCAGGAGGATGTCACGCGCACTGACTAAATGAAACCATTGAGTCCATGAATTCCCCCATCCATCGTGTAGCTTCGCAGCACGCTGGAAATATAATAGTTCCTGCACGTGTACGGATCTTGTCAGGCACCGAGGAACATTCAGAATGGGCAAGCAGAGCTGTCATTGCTCAAGGAGGCTCTTGAAGAGCTGGCTTCACATCCCCCTGGAGCTTAGAGGGACAGTGAAAGAGCCTGGAATGGAGACCCGGCTTTCCCCAAGGCTTTTGGTATGTGGATATTTAGGGGGAAAAGCCCCTGACTGGCCCAGTGCCCTTCAGCCAGCCCACATTGTTACGGCTGTTTTGGATGCTAAAATGTGAAAATATCGCTTATCAGAGATTCTAAGAAGCACATTTTTTTTCACATTTTAACATCTCTGAAATTAGGATGCATCTGAC